GATATAAATTGTCATGACATATGTTGAAATATGTGGTTTCGGTTGTCTATATGAAATTCATTATGTATGCGACATGACATTAAAGGAGATTTTATCAAAAGTGATAGCATCAAGCATATTTCACCAAAAATCTTCTACTACTCTTATGAACTCCAGTAAAATCATAAAATTGAAGTAAACCAGATATTATTTAGCGACAATCTTGCAGATCTATTCATTAAAGCTTTACCATCATCAACATTCAAGAAATTGGTATATGACATTGGAATGTGTCGAGTTTGTGACAAATCCAATTGATTTATTATCAGGGGGACATTTTCATCAGGAGGAGTATCCACATCAAGATATATGACATATGCACATTATACTCTTTTTCTTTCTTGTAGGTTTTGTCCCATTGGGTTTTCCTAGCAAAGTTTTAATGAGGCAACATTAGTATATCCAATGCTATTTTAAGATTCGTTTGAATATGTACTCTTTTTCCTTCATTGATTTTTTTTTTCATAGAATTTTCCTAACAAGGTTTTAATGAGACATATTATCTTAGTATAATAGTCATCTAAGGGGGAGTGTTGTAAATATATTGCATATATAAGGATGAACTCTAACCTATCAATTTAATAAGTATTAGTAATTGACTCTATAACTCTACCCAGAGTTAATATTGTATTTGATGACCATTAGGATTTGAGGCTTATGAAACACGGATACGGATACGAGATTCGGGTATAATACGATATGGATACGGCGATACGATAAAATCTAAAAAAGAAGAATATGAGTACGGTCAAGATACGACTATAATAAAATATATTTATTATTTTCAATCAACATAATACTTATACATTTTGGTAGTTTTTTAACACAATAAAGAAAATATGTAATTCTTTTTAGTTTAAAGAAAATATATATTGCATCACTCTGATATATTTACAAAGTGAAGTGATTAATTAAAGGAATCAAAACTAACATTTACCGAGTCGGTTTATTTGGAAGTGATTTTTGCTAAAACTATAATGTAATAGATTTATTTTATACTCTTTTGACATGTAATTGTAGATAATAATTAAAAAATACTCATATGCCTTTGAAGTAGTATGAATTTTTGTAAATGTATTATATGGTATGTAAATTTGAAAGAAAATGTTAAAAATTCAACTCAAAAATTATATATATTGCTTGAACACAAAAATATCCGTGAAGTATACTAATATTTAATTATTATTGGATACGTAAGAGGTGTATCCTATATGTATCCTTGGGTATCGGACGAGTATCGTATTTGATAAAGCATTCGATACGGATACACTGACCCCAACGAAGTATTTGTACTTCATAGTTTGAGGCCTATAAAAGGAGGTTCTCATCACATTGACAAATACATAAGTTGAGAAATTATTTCTCTAGCATATACATATTCTCTATATTTTCTTTGTAGTCTATATAATTCTCTGACTTTCACGAAAATAGATCTATATATATATATATATATAAGAGTTGTTAGTTTTTAAATTTGTTTTAATTAAATATAACTATTAAAGGTATTTTAGATAATGGATATCAAAATAGATTTATTTTCAAACAAGTTTTTTGAGTGTATTTAAGTCTAAATAAGTCCACAAAAGGGGACCAGCCTCCAAATTCTCCATAAATCTTTTTCATAATTTTACTCGATTCAAGATAGTTAATGATATATTCATGTTAAACCCACTTGAATGCATTGAGTCCATTTAGGTTTATACTTGATGATTTAACATTCGGTAAAGCTAAGAGAAAAATTTGTTACAATCAATAAGAATTTTTTCTAGAACACTTATTCAAGTAGAATTAGTTTTAATCAATTTTTTGCTAAAATCATCAATTGTGGCTTGAATCAATTTTGGTAGAGTATTTCTTTAATGTCAAAATCATGAATTCATAACTTCAAACACAAAATATTTACAAAAAAAAAAAAACAATATAGACCATGTTGTTGAGTGTTATTTGATAAATTAAGATTTAGCATTCGTTTTGTAATATTTTTTTTTAAAACAAAAAAAAGAAGTAAATTTGATGATGAGAAGGGTAGCTAAGTGAAATTTTAAATGTTTTTATATTAAAATAATGTTACCATTGACTCCGAAAGTTTTAGGGTAATTTTTGGGAAAATTTGGGATTGGTCCCTTTTGTGGACTTATTTAGACTTAAATTCACTCAAAAAACTAGTTTGAATATAAGTCTATTTTGATCATCATTATCTAAAATATCCTTAGTAATTATATTTAATTAAAATAAATTTAAAAATTAACAACTCCTAAATTTTAGGAGTTTTACTAATATTAAAATTGAATATATATACACATACTTATTCACACCTACTCAAATATAGATAGTTAGTGAACTGAAAATGTTGAAGAAGAGAATGTATGGATCAAAAGAGAAGTAGAAAAAAGGAGAAGGAAAAAGAAAAGAAGAGAGTATGGTGTTGCAATGGATGAGAAATCCATTTGATGTTAGTTTTTCGAAGAATGCCTCTTAACCTTTTTGTTTTTTTCATTCGTAGCCCGTCATGAGAGAAAGAGAGAAATAGTCCAACTGAATTTTTTTGAATTTGAATTTTAAATTTAGAATGAAAATTTTATTAACATATCTTCATCGATATTCAATTAAAGGGATAACAATTTACAAGATAGGAAACTAATTTAGGATTAATTGTAAATTGCATCCCGAAAAATTGTTCGAATCTCAATTTGCATCCTCAAAGATAAAAAATTTTAATTTGCACCATCAAAAATAGAACTTTGTATCAATATGCACCCCAAAAATCAAAAATCTTAATTTGCAACTCTCAAATATAGAAATTTGTATCAATGTGCACCTAAAACTAACTGCCGTCAGTTTACTGCCTAAAATTAAATTGATAAATTATACGTAAATCCCCTTATGTTTGTCACTTAATCATTTGGACCCCTTCACATTTAAAATATTACTTCTACATCTCATGACGTTTGTGCATATGTAACACGTAATCTTTTTTCGTTGATATATGTTAATATAACCATTAAAAATATATGATTTTATCCTAATAAAAAATTATAATTTCATATTACTCTTTATTTTGTGGGTCCGATATATTCTAAAATTCAAAATTAAATTTACCATTTGAATGTCCAATAGAATGCAGATATTTATATAATGTTTTTTTTATATGCAATGCAATATATCACTTAAAACATTATTATTTGAATGCCCAATTGGAGGAACATTTTAGATTGAGAGTATTTTTATTAGGATTTTATAACCTTTAAAAAATATGATTTTATCTTAGAAAAAATTATAATTTCATATTACTTTTTATTTTGTGAAGAGGTTCAAATGATTAAGTGACAAGTATGAGGGGATCTAGATATAATTTATCAATTTAGTTTTAGGCGGGAAACTGACGGTAGTTAGTTTTTGGTGCACATTGATATAAATTTATATTTTTGAGGGTGCAAATTGAGATTTTTATCTTTGAGGGTACACATTGATACAATTTTTTATTTTTGAGAGTGTAAATTAAAATTTTTTATCTTTGAAGGAACAAATTGAGATTTGAACGATCTTTCAGAGTGTAATTTGTAATTAACCCATTAATTTAACACTCTTTTCAAGGAAATGTATTTTAGAGTTATTAAAAAGTTATTTACTTAACTACTTATTAGTAAGATTAACATACGAACGACTTATCTCAAAATAAATTTGAGGGACAGACTAAACTCATTAAAAGTCTACTAAATAAGACTCAACCCAAATTTTTACAAAATATATTATCAAAATTCCAAATCCTAATTACCCTAACACAGATAAGATAAGATCAAATATCTAATTCTTGTTGTTAACAATAAAAAAAAAAATTTACTTGAAGTCACAAATTTTATACTCCAAATATAATATTTTTCAACTAGCTACCATGGCCTAACTTAGATAGCTACTTCTAGCTTCCACAAATGAGTAATTATCAAAGATAAAAGATTTATTTATTAAGGATTGGGATTTCTATTCCACCATTGTTTGAATGTTTTCTCTCTCCTTCTCATAATATATATTAAGATTGTATTTGTATATGAAAAATAAAAATATTTTTTTCATTATGTACCACCAAAAATATTCCGTAGCACACGCACCAATGCACGTGAAATGAATCATTGAAACAAACAAATTAAAGTATCCACTGAATTGTCAAAATTTCTAGTCGCTAGAGTACGGCTGTCTCAACGTATCATAAAGTGTAAATTATATTTGGACCCCTTAAATTTTATTGTTTAATTAATTAGACACCGCATATTTAAAATATTATTCTTAGACCGATCAAAGTTTGTGCACGTATGACCCATAAATCTCAATTGTTAATATTTTTTATTCTAATTTTTTAGTATTAATTATGTCATTCATAAATATAATCATAATCCTCAAACTACACTTTTCATCTTGAAGGGGAGTGCCACCGCCAAGCCTCAAAGCATGCCACAATCCACCACCTATCCCCAAAAGTAGTAACCTCTTGTCACCAACACCCATAACCACTGACCACTACAAACCTATCATGCCCAACACCAAAGACAAAGATATCAACTATAATGGCACAACCACCACCAAATCCCAATATTGTGACCCACGGCCAATCACCCATAACAACCAGTAACAAACCCACTATGCTCAACACCCCTACACAGTCATCCAAAGGTCCGCAATTTAAGGAGATTTATGGGCTTGGGTTTCTTTTGGGTATGGGTTCCATATAGTTTTTGGTTTGGGTTTGTATTTGATGAAATTATTTGATTTTTTTATAAGAGGGGAAAAGGGTTACTTCAAATGTTATGTCCGTAAGTGGGTTCTTACTGATAAGAGGTGTTAATGTAATATATCATACTTAAGGGGATTCTTGTAATTTAGTGCTAAATTTTAGGGATGTGAATGTAATTTATCCTATTATAAACGTTTATTCACACGCATATGCGCACAGAGAGACACGGAGAGTTATGGAGGTGACAGCCAGAGCTCCCGGCAAAATCATACTTGCCGGCGAACACGCTGTGGTTCACGGATCAACGGCCGTCGCTGCCTCCATTGATCTCTATACTTATGCCTCTCTTCGCTTTCCCACTCCTGAAGGTACTTCATAAACTCTTAACTACTGTACATGTCTGTTTTTTCTTGATGTGTGTGCGAGCTGAAATTGTTGATATTTTGAAGTTTTTGAGAGGTAACTGACCTGGTTTTTCTTGAAATGTTTTAGTAAACAAATCCCTTTGAGATTTTGTGTTAATTTTAGGTAGACATTGCCAAAACTCTTGTCTCTGCTAATGGGTTGGATTGACTTTCTCCTAGGATTATAATTAAGTAACATTCTCACAACACCTGCTTCCTTATTTATTACGTAGTTATTTTGAATCTGAATTTGTATTGTTATAGTTACACTTGAGTAGTGCAGTAGTGTTGCATTGCTTAACTATTGGAATTTGATTAGGCTAAATTATAGGAACCTTGAATTTATGACCCAAGCGATCAAACCCTTTGTTATTTTGATATTGATCGTCAAAGTTTTCTTGAAATGAAATTTTTATGTAAAAACACCCTTTGGATTTTGGTGAAAATAATGGTATTATATGTGCCTTTGATGGAAGTTTTGTTAACCTGGAAATTAGTGAGTATTCAGAATTATTGCAGACGTTAATTATATCTCTTTTGCTGTATGTCAACCTGGATTCACGACCCTCATGAGAATCATGGACGCATATTTAATTAATACATTTTGCCTAAGAAAAAATATCTAGATGTTGTGTTACACCATCACTTGGAAGTTGAGGATCAAGTATATGAACAAGGTTGTATGTTCTAATTATAGTATACTTGGTAAGTGGAACAATTTTGATCAATGCATGATTTATTTTTTCAGCCTAATAGGTAATTCTCTCTTGGTGATACTTATTGCGTCTTTATTTATTTGATCTCTGTGATCTATTGACTAGATTGGTTTTTCTTTTATCTTTTTGGGGGTAGATAATGATGATACACTTAAACTCCAGCTCAAGGATATGGCTTTAGAATTTTCTTGGCCAGTTGGAAAAATTAAAGAAGCACTGCCAGAATTGGGGAGTCATGCCGCATCATCACCCATGTCATGTTCACTGGATACCATTAAATCAATTGCAGCTCTAGTTGAAGAACATAATATTCCAGAGGCCGAAACTGGACTTGCTGCTGGAGTTTCAGCTTTCCTTTGGTTATACACTTCTATCCAAGGGTCTGCATCTACTATCGGTTGCTATTGATAACTTTTGCCTGTGGCTATGAACCACTCTGACATCTAGTATTGTTGTGTGTCAGGTATAAACCTGCGAAGGTGATTGTCACTTCTGAGCTTCCACAGAGCTCTGGATTGGGTTCATCGGCAGCATTATGTGTCTCCCTCTCAGCTGCTCTACTTGCTTTGTCCGATGCTGTGAACTTAGATTTTGGTCAACAAGGCTGGTTAATGTTTGGAGAAAGCGAACTGGAATTGGTTAACAAATGGGCTTTTGGTGGTGAAAAAATAATCCACGGGAAGCCATCTGGGATAGACAACACGGTTAGTACATATGGTATGTGTTCTTTCATAGCAATTTGGAAAACAGTTTGAACTCTTGAGGCTCAGAGAAAATATTGTGGAGTTATGAAGCTAGGAAAGTTATTTAAATTTTTTTTTTCTGAATTTCTGGTAAAAAAATCATAAATAAAGGCTAATGAATGTGTTTAATTGCAGGAAAATAATCCATTTGAGTTAATTGAAAAGTAGAGGCATATGTTAACATTTTCGCAGTTGTTCGACTTTTCTAGTAATTTTAGACTTTTAAGTTATTCGTCATATTTAAACCACTGGGTATTTTTATGTTAACGTAAGTGAGATTAATGGATTCTAGAAAAGAGAGAATTAAAAAGAGGAAAGGTGGAATTCAAACCTTAACTCTGCGGATGTGTGCACCAAACTGATGAACACCACTAAGTCTACCACACTATGTGCTCATGTCCCCTGAAATTCGATTGACGACAACTGGAGGATGAACAACAAAAACATTATACTAAAGTAACAGTATTGGTGGTTGAACATTTTTCATTTATATATTGTTGATGTCTTTCCTATCAGATATTTTTTTTTTGGTCGATGCCTAACTTTTTATTGAACACAAATTACCATTTTGAGATTTCCATAATACTTGATGTACACGAGGGCTTACTGATGCAACAGGGCTTCTGAACTTGGATATGCTTGTAAATAATAAACTTCTTGCCACAGGAAACATGATTAAGTTTAGATCAGGAGATTTGATGCGCATCAAGTCCAATATGCCGCTTAAAATGCTCATAACTAACACAAAAGTTGGGAGGAACACGAAGGCATTAGTTGCCAGCGTTTCTGAGAGGAAGGTCAGGCACCCTGATGCTATGATTTCTGTATTCACTGCGGTTGATTCTATCAGCAATGAATTGGCCTCTATTATCCAGTCTCCTGCCTCTGATGATCTTGTCATAATTGAGAAGGAAGAAAAACTAGAAGAGCTGATGGAAATGAATCAAGGGTTGCTCCAGTGTATGGGGGTCAGTCATGCTTCTATAGAAACTGTGCTTCGATCAACATTGAAATACAAATTAGCGTCCAAGTTAACAGGAGCTGGTGGTGGAGGCTGTGTTCTGACACTATTGCCATCCCGTATCCATTTCATTAATCTGCTAATAAATGCCACTTTTTAATTTTTTCGTACATCAATTATTTTCTTCTTCCAAATTTTGAATACTATAATGATTACATTATATGTTGAATTCCATGCTTTAAATATTTTCTATATACCCTTTTTCTTGTCTTTTGTTGCATCTTTATGCATGACATCATTTGGTTGCTAGCCTTCACTACAAGAAGGTAGATGATGACCTAGAATATATTCCCCTGACTACTCACTACTTAATGTTGTCCTTTCTAGAAATACATGCATATAACTATTATTTTGAAAATGGAGTCTACATGTTACCTAAATGTGTAAGACAATTAGAAAAAACTTTTAGGATGTACTGCATTGTTTATTGCAGTGGAGTTTTTATTTTGTAACTATATGACATCTAAAGCTAGTTCTAGGCTCATTTGACAAATTTTCTATGCATCGCTTATCTAAACCTAACACTACAACTATGGTTGCTGGTTGCTGGTTGCATTACTAAGTTCACTGGAGCATTGGCCTTGTATCAACAAATTATATTTAGGGGAGACATGATGGGGCAAAAGTGAGAGTTTAAAAGGAAACCATTTTTCTTGAGATAGCATAAACTAGAGTTTGAAGTAAGTGGTGTGAATGTGTTCAAAAGAGTTAGAGACTGGATTCACTAATGTGTTATGGTGTTTCGCTGCCTGAAGAGAAAATTCGTAGAATAAGGAAGAAACTATCTGCATAAAGAATGAATGGAGATAAAAATGAAAACCAAGAGATTTGTTCTAAGAATTTAAAGTGGTAAATGACTTGTAGGATTCCAAGTTGTGGTAAATGCTTGATAGAATTCCAAGTGGTAAATGCTTGATGTAGAGATGATTTGGTGTCAGACAATCTCTGAAGATACGGGGGCTTGTGTTCTAGATTTTCTCTGGCAACCAATAATGAGGAACTGCGAGTCATTCCTTCACATGAATCTTTTGATATTGAGAGTAAGGCTACAAACCATAGTTCTTATATCTTGATGCAATTTAACCTCTTGAATATTTTTGGGGAATATAAAAAGAAGTAATTAATCAATTACTTTGATTGGTAATTGGATAAAGCGAGTTGCAGAATTCTGGTGATTGAAGCCCATAATTCCAGATCAGTCTATTTTGAACTGCACTGGCGAAAGGAGTTTGAGTCAGAAGCAAATCGCTTGATTGAAAGTTTGTGCAAATGAGATTTTTGTGTTCTGTGCTTTCAAAGCACTAGAAAAGGTAGAGAAGAAGGAGGGGGTGGGAAGGAGAAGAAACCAATGGTACTGTAATTTACGAGTTCACTAATTATGGGTTTATAAATGGTTGACGGAAGAAATATTTTTTTAGTATATGCTCTCAAATGTCAGCTAATATGTTTGAGAACATTAATTAAGTAGATTTAACTTTAGCCTTGTAAGTTATCGTCTTCCAATTTTTCCTTGACCACTGAAATCAGTATTATCAGGAACAGTGGTTGATCAAGTAATTGCTGAGCTAGAATCCTGCGGATTCACATGTTTGATTGCTGGAATTGGCGGGAATGGTCTTGAGGTTTGCTTCGGTGGTTCATCTTGATTTTCCCATGGATGCAATTAATAATAGAAAGGTCTGCCCCTGTAACGTCAAATAATAGTATGAAAACGTATGTTTCCACAGCCCTGTTCTTTTGATTATTGTTTTCTTTGCATTTACTCCATTGTTGTTGTTGAGTTCCTATACTTGTATTTCTAGTTTCCATCACCTTCACTTTACCTTTCATTTGCTTCTATTTTCATTCTTGTTCCTAAGGTCAGATGTTCATTAGAGATCAGATAAGTTTTTACGTTGATTGTCAGTTAGTTAATGTAATATTATCTGATTTATTTTTCTTTGGTAACATGTTATATTTTTTCCTTGTTCTTAGAGAGAATATAGAACATGAAAACTAAGACACCTGCAACGTGAACAAATCAAAGTGTGAAAATGACTAAATTATAATCCTGACCAATGTTAGTGTACACATGGTGTACATGAAATATATTTACATCTGTTTTTGCTGTGAATTCATAAGCTTTTCCAGTGAAATCTTATGAAACAACTCAAGGTATAGGGATGTGACAAATGCAAAATTTGCACTGGACTTTACAAGATCTATATGTTTACAACTTGACTCCCATTTTTATCAGGCTACCTAATTACTGACCGGAAATCAGAAACACAAAAAAGGGAAAAAAACAAGCATATAATAAAAATCCAATAGAAGGATATTGGCGGGGTAGAAAACCTAACTGCAGAATTTAATTTCTCAAATTCAACCAAGAGAATGAAGAAAAAGAAAGAAACTGTTGCACTCAATGCATGCAAGACTCCCGCCTATAGCAACGTCTGGCCCAGAAAAGGTAATTGGTAATCTTATCCCTATTTTAGAGAGTTTGATTTGCATTCACAGTCTCGAACACATGGCGTGTAGCTTGAGTGAATGACCACTTGCAAAACATCGACATCAATATATATTCCTTGAAGTCTGGAACACACGAGCTAATTGCAAAGTTATCCTGTTGGATGGAATCAAATTTTGAGTTTTTCCAAATTACTTAAAGAAGTAGGTTTACTGAAAATCTTCTGTTCTTGAAACATTTAAAAGAAATCTTGTGGGCTCCACAAATTTATCCAGCTAAATGTATTCCAGTAGCTTGGAACTCTCAAATTCTGTCCAGACAGATCAACGCACTTCTTTTGGGTTAATCAGTGAGCATGACTGTTTGGTAAACAGTCAAGGACAAGATATCTGTTGTCAGCAGATTGTCCACTTATTTTAGTCCCCAAATCAGTTGTAGATAACAAACATTTGTTTTCTTTTCTTTTTTGGGTACAGTGGAAAAGGTAACTGGAGCCCTTACAGCTCTCTAACAAAAACAGTAGAAGTTTGGTCTGCCTGAAGCATATGTCTTATTTCAGTGGGGGGCTCCACCATGATGGCCAGTGCATTAGCAGATTTGTTTCCCTTGCGCAAAACATGTTGCATTTGGCAAATGGTTATCTTCAGTAGCTCTCTACAATACTTAGAGTACTGCTTAGATGCC